GCTGACGCTGAGGACGAAGAAGTGGTGACGGAAGAGGAGGATTGTGGGAAGAAAGATAGTGATTTCTTCACTGGAGAGAAAGCTCAGAAGGAAAGACAAGCCAGAATATGTCCACAAGAAGATGAACACTCAATTATAAAGACAAAAATGGCTGTTTTTAATCGTTTTCTTCCAGATAAGAACACAGTTATAGGTAATGGAGTCAGTGGTGAGGCCATCGAGACTAGCAATGATGACGACTTTCCGTATCTCCCAGCGGTTGGAGGCTCGGACTCGAACGCGCACACTTGCCGGGATCTGGTAAGGCCAAATTTGCAGTCCCACAATTTGGTACCACGAGATGCCGATAACGCCCCTGCACCCATCACAGCACTCTCTGGTGAAGATTGCCGAGTTGAATCTGTTCGCCAGGATCCAGAAGACATTTTAACTACACGCAAATCCTTGCATCGGCTCAATCGAGGCTGTTGTTCACAAGGCCGGAGTAAAAGAGTCCCGGAGGAGGTGTTTCTGGTAAGCGCAAGAGGATGATCAGGCGCCGATGATGAGGCATAATCTCGTAGCCACAAAGAGCATTGATAAAAGATTGTGTTTAATAGACACTAACTGTAGTGGAGTGGTGAATAGGTAAATAAGGCAGCAGACCTGAGTTAAAAAAGTAGCCTGGTGTTTGATCTATTCTTCTGCTAATTCTTCGTGAAAAAGCACAAAAAATAAATCTATCTGTATTTCGGGATATGTGTATAAGAACTGTTGTTAGGCAAAATTATTTTTTACTCTTCCCCCGATACGTTACATTTTAGCAGGCAAGCAGTTTAGCTCAAAAGCGGATGTATTTGGACATAAAGTAGACCGGCAACCTTGTTCAGTTACATTCTTTTAAAGTGTCAAATTTTTGATATTCGCGTTCAGAGTTCCTCAAAGTGCTAGACCATAGAAAGGACAATTCTTGTATGAAAAAACAAAGACTAGATATATAATTTGCTTGCTAGAGGATAAGAAACTAACTCTAATACATACTTGCAACTAAAATCAGTCCAGAATGAGCATATTTCTAAACTCTCGGCAAAACTTGAATTAAACCTCAAGTCTTCGTAGAACATCAAATGTAAGGTAAGAAATAACTGTAGAATATTCCATCTTTAATTAAATTTATACTTAGTCCTGCCTTACAAAAGGATACTTTGCGGGAGCCGTGCTGCGGATTCCACCAAATTGAAGTGTCCCCAGTACTCCAACGTAGTCTAAACTGTTTCTTGGGGGTCAGGTCATCGAGTTAACCATCTTCGAAACTCTTATGGATGCTGATGAGTCGAAGATACGAGGCCGGATCTGTTGTCAAGCCTGGATGAGGTTTTTCTGGAGGCTATACTTGACGAAATTTTATGCAAGGAATTTTCGGTAGGAAACTCGACATTAATATCTTACACTCCTCTAAACAGATACTTATTCTGGATAAAGAGGCCAAGTACGGTTTTTTTACCCATTCGTCCATCGCAACTGAACAGGATACAGAATGATAAAATATAATAGGGCTATGAATCTAAGTAGGCATAAAAAAAGTAAACCTGAGTATCGAATACCCACTCCAAGCCCGACCAGGAAAAAGATTCTGAACTACACTTCACCTAAAAATCGGTCAAAATTATTTTCAGGCTTCAGCTTTC